AAATCTCTCCATAAACAAGCAGCATGTCAAGGCATTTTAGCAACATCTTTCAAGAATGTGCCTTTGATATTTCATTTTACATGATGAAAGGTTAAATTCAGTTTTAAACATTTAGAATTATGGATACTTACAAGTTGGAAATGGCAGTAAAGGTCATTACTTGATTTTTCACACAGTACAGAAATTCCCTCTAAACAGTAATATTTGGTCACTCACTAACCTTCATTTGGCCACTTTCATTAATGGAACTTTAACAGTTTACCAGGCAGCCTATAGCATTGCTGAGTATCAATAACTGGTATTCACATTAATTCTTTAAAAAAAAAATATATTTTTTTTATTGATTTCAGAGAGGAAGGGGGAGGGAGAGAGAAACATCAATGATGAGAGAAAATATTTGACTGGCTGTCTTTTGCACGCCCCCTACTGGGGATTGAGCCCACAACTTGGGCATGTGCCCTGACCTCCTGGTTCATATGTCAATGCTCAACCACTGAACCACACCAGCCAGGCAAACATTCATTCTTGTATTAATTTTATATTAATTTTGAGATCTGTTCTGTTCACCCCCTAGATCTGGTACATAGATGGCACAGAATAAGGAGTGAATTAAATCTACCTTTCAACAACTCTCTAGAGTTCCCACTTAGCTCCTTGAAAATAACTTGCCCTATCTACTGACTGTCTTTCAAATATGTGAAGATCGTTTTTACATTCCCGCTCTTCTCCAGGGCAAACATCCCATTTCCTCCACATAATTTTTAGTGTTTCAAGATTTCCCCCTAAATATTAGCATCTAAAATGAAAAACAATATTCTTTATATGACTGGAGTAATACACATGGGATGAGAGGTTACTAATATTCAACATGTCCAATGAGGGGCCACTGAGTTGCAGCATGCCTGCAAGTTGTTTTCTTATCTTCAGAATTTATCACTGAGAAAATGGAGCTAGTGAGACAGGAAGCAACTTGCCCAATTCACACCACTAGCAAATGGCAGAGCCACAGTTTATCATTAGGTTACGATACTGCCTTTCCTCAAATGGACACTAGGTTCCTCTATAAACATAACATTATGCCCCAGAACCATTTTTGTCAAGGTAGGCCTTCTTCATCTCCAACATGGACAAGTGGGTTTCTGTACATTTAATCATTCCTGGTAAATCTATATCTTGTTAGTTTGGGCCTATTATTTTAGCCTTTAAAAACTTGTTGTGTGTCATTTAACATGTTAACTACAGGTTTTGAGTACATTTATTAATTTGAGAAGCATGCCTCATATATTCAAATTTGGTAATAAAAAAGTGCTAACCAGAAAAAGAGCAAGACCAGAGATCTGTAGTCTATCTCTAAAGACCTCTCTTCATTCAGGCTGACACCAACTCCTGAACCAACATTCTAGGTTTGGTAACTTGAATGGATATAAATCCATCTACTTAGACCTCATCCAGCGTACATTTACCTGTGCTGACTAGGATAGGAAGAGATTATGTTCAGTGACCTGAGGCTCTGCTGGTTTGAGCTTCCAAGTACTCACAAACTCTTTGCTCTCTGACAAGATTCTTAAATAGATTATTAAAAAGTTGTAGCATCTGAGAGCCATCTAATAGGTCTGAGATATTTATAAGACTCCAGTTTTCTATCATTAACTGTATTCGAAGGAAAATGATTCAATCAAGAGACACAGTCAACATGAGATGTATGAGACTGCTGCCAGTGTAACACAACATACATTATCTTTTACGAGAAAGAGTACATTCTAACGTAAAGAGTAAAAGCATAGTATAGTGCAGGAAACCACAGTTTTGTCACACTGAAGCTGCCTTCTTTGGGACATAGGTTCTAAGCTGGTTATTAAGGAACAGGACTCAAGAAAGAATCTCTGTCCCTTCCCCCTCTCCTGCCCAAGAGACTCAGACAGAAAAACCTGCTTCAGGAAGGAAGGAGGAGTAGGATGTCGCCTTAATCCAATTTGAACCGAGCACGGTAAATAAGAGGCTTCGGGCAGGGTCTGTAAGCTAGGTACCCCGTGTCCCACTGTTTTGAGTCACCCAGCAAGGATTTTCCTGCCTGCCATGTATGTTCTGCTCTTCTCAGCCCATTCTCACTTCTGAAATCTAATATCCTGTCCCCACATTTTCTCCAATGTTGCCTCCCCATCTTTGGAATTTTCATGCCTATGTGAGTGAATTCCCCATATGCATGTATTAAAATTTTTACTTTCTCCTGTTAATTTGTCTCTGTTCATTTAATTTTTGGCCCAGCTATAAGAGCTTAGAAGGTGGGAGGGAAAGTATTAATTCTTTTAGCTTCCACAACAGTAAATACATAAACCAGTAACATAGTCATTTATTATCATTAGCAAGTATTACATACTGTACATAATTGTACGTGCTACACTTTTATATGACTTTCAGTTCAGATTTATTTACACCAGCATCACTACCAACACGTAACTTGCACTATGACATTATGCCAGCTACAGGGTCACTAGCAACGGGAATTTTACAATCTTACGGGACCACCTTTGTATGTGTTCCATCTTCGACCAAAATGTCACTATGGGGTGCACGACTGTAGCTCATTTTGTAGGCCAAAACTATGATCATTTTTTTCTTTATGATATTCAATTTTTTGAAAGTGGCATTTAAAATGTAAGCATCTTGCCCTAGCTGGTTTGGCTGGGTGGATGGAGTGTCGGCCTGTGGACTGAAAGGTCCCGGGTTTGATTCCATCAGAGGCACATGCCTGGGTTGCAGGCTCAATCCCCAGGAGAGCGGGGGGGGGGTCCAGGAGGCGGCCGATCGATGGTTCTCTCTCATCATTGGTGTTTCTCTCTCTCTCTCCCTCTCCCTTCCTCTCTGAAATCAATAAAAATATGCTTAAAATAAGATAAAATGTAAGCATCTCAACAATGATAGTATTTCGTTATTGCTTTTGGTGCAATCTACATTTCCAAAATGAAACAAACGTTAAACATGCTTATGCACAAGTCAGCTAATATGTTTGAAAAATATATATAATCAAAATGAGACAAAAGAAAATAAAACCCAAAATTAGATACCTGTGATTGTCATTCTGAAACACACACACACACACACACACACACACACAAACAAGAGTCCTGGATAATTACTTAATTTACAGTCAAAATTACTTAATAGGCAAGCATCCTAATAATACAATCTTAGCCGAAATGTTCACCACTCACCCGTTCACTCTTCATTCTGCAATACAGAGCGCGTGCTCTATGTACGCCACGGAGGGTTCCAGGATGGGACTCCAAACCCCGGAGGATCTCTCCTTCTACCCCGTTCGCACAAACCTCTAACGCAGTGGTTCTCAACCTTCCTAATGCCGCGACCCTTTAAATACAGTTCCTCTTGTTGTGACCCAACCATAAAATTATTTTCGTTGCTACTTCATAACTGTAATTTTGCTACTGTTATGAATCATAATGTAAATATCTGATATGCAGGACTTATTTTCATTGTTAAAAATTGAACATAATGAAAGCATAGTGATTAATCACAAAAACAATATGTAATTATATGTGTTTTCCGATGGTCTTAGGTGACCCCCAAAGGGGTCGCGACCCACAGGTTGAGAACCGCTGCTCTAACGAGCGCCTGCAACTGCAGGGCGCTGTGCTGGACCCCTCTCCAGAGCGCCTCCGAGCGAGAAACGCAGACACCAGCAGGCTCACCTTACAAACACAGAAAGGCCACGCGCAAGGAACTGCTCTTACTGGTGGAAGCCGCGCCTAACGTCGGGTGGTGGGAGCGAAAGCTCCATTGAACCGGCAACCCACATTTTAGGGAGCGCAACCGACCGCGCTCTGTGCTGGTGAGAACAACTGGAGGACCTCTGCACGGACGCCTCAACTCCCCAAAGAACAACTCCTTCGGGACCCAACCGCACCGGCCCAGGACAGGGTCCGCAAGAACCAGGTCTCCGCGAGAACGACTCCGGACGCGGAAGTGCCTGGTCCTCCTTCCTCTCCAGACCCCCGGGTCGGAGCACCCCGGTGTGAGCGGCGCCCGGGCCTCAGCCTGGCCAAGTCGGGACGGAGACCCCCAAGGAGCTCGGCAGACGCGGGCAGTCCGGGGCTGCGGGAGCGCGCGCGCGTGCTGAGACCCCGCCCCTTCTCCCCACCAGCTACCAAGTCACCAAACCTTAGCCGCCCCTCTGGGCGGGGCCCGCTACCCTGTGCTAGGGCGCGCGAGGGCCTTTCTCCTCCGCTCTTGCGCCTCAAAACCCTCTCCCGAATCCCGTCCCGCAGCACCGCCATCGCCCGCTAACTTCGAGCTGACAGGGGGCAGCGGGGGGAGGCGGTATCCGGGAAGATAGACTCCACTAGGGGGTGGAGGCAGCTGGCCCTGCCCTACTGAGACCTTTAGGTACGCGGGAGGGGGGTGGCGCTGCCCGTGGTCGGTCGGTTACTCACTCCTCGCCTCCGATAAGCCCCTCAGCGACGTCTCTCCTTGCGGACCGCAGCCATCTTGGACGTGGGATGTCGGGGAGTACGTCATTGCGCTGCGTCGGCGCCGGAAAACACGGAGGCACGTGTCAACCAATCAGAAGAAAGCAGAGCTCTCAACGGAGGAAAGAACAGCCAGTCATTTTCAGGCCCCTCCCCGCAGGAGGAGGAGCCTGTCAGAGGGACACTCCCGTTGGTCCCGCTCCCGGGGCTAAGGAAGTTCGGCAGCAACCGAACGTGCTAACGGAATTTGGACGCGAGAGGAGGGGCCCGAAGAGCCAGTCCTCCAATCAGCGTCCGGGCGTGGCACAGTTCCGCCAATTGTGGCCCCGGAGCTGAGGGGGCTGTGCCGACAGTTCAGGCTCCAGGAGCCGGCAGGCCCAATGGAGGGGGAGGAGCCCGAGCAAAACGGTAGGGGAGCGATGGGGCGGAACCGCGCCCATGCGTTCAGCTTTGGGCCAATCAGCGGTGGCGGCGGCGGCCTGGGGCGGGGCCTGGGGGAGGGCGGAGCCGGGTTGGACCGCGGCGGCGGGGCTGTCTCAAGCCGCCGTCCCGCCCCTCCCGTCCGGCTGCCGCTGCCACCGTCTCTGTCGCCGCCGCCGCTGCCTGGGGCTTGGTCGAGGTGGACGGTGGGTTTGGGCCGGAGTGTGGCACCGGTGCCGCTGCGTGAAGGGGCCAGCGGGCAGGTGAGTGCCGGCGGCGTCCCCTCCGCGCGCACGACCCGCGGCGGGGCAGACTCCCGCGGTCGCTCGCGAGTGCTGCGAGGCTGCCTCCCATCCCGGCCGGCGTCCCTCGGCCGAGGTCCGGCCCGCGCCCCGCCCGCAGCTCTGGGCCCGGGGTGCCGGGGCGTTGGTGTGCGCCCTCGGTCCTGGAGGGGTGGGCGGGCGCGGGATTTCTGCATATGCAGAGGGCATGGAAGTCACAATTCGACCGGGGATTTAAGGGCCTCCTGGCGCAGAGAACGTCCACACGGACGAGTTCCCATTGACATGATCTTAACTCTTTTTTAGCTCTCCCTAGCGACCTGCCTATTTATTAAAATATGAAAAGGTAGCCCCCCCCGTGCAAGGTCACGAGACTGCCCGAATGCGGAAAAGACCGGGGCGAAGGTAACGTGCCATAACGGGGGAAGTAGTACCTGGGAAAACTAGCACATCTAGGCAGGTACTGCAGAAGACATGGCACCAAACTCACAGCATGTAGGGAGTTGAGCGTCGGTAGATACGACTAGGACGAAAATGCGACCGTCAAAGACTAAAGAGA